GTGGCAGCTGCAGCATGGGTGGCGGGTGCATGGGTGGCAGCAGCTGCACGGGTGGCAGCAGGTGCGCATGCTTTCGTGCGGGCCTGGGCGCGGGCGAGGGAGCGTGCATGGGAGCGCGACTGCAGGAAGAGCGAGGCATCGGAGGAGGACGTATCGTAGTCTGATGAAGGGGGGGACTCGAAATCCCGCCACTGCCGCTGCTGCTGCTGGTGTTGCCGCTGCTGCTGCTGCTGCTGCTGCTGGTGTTGCCGCTGCTGCTGCTGCTGCTGCTGTGGCAGCGCGGTGGGTGGTGGTATGCCCTTAGAAGCAGCAGCAGCTGAAGCAGCAGCAGCCAAAGCAGCAGCAGCACGATTCCCCATGGCATCAACCCAGGCTATACGTTGTTCCTGCCCATTCTCCTGCTCTCCCCCACGCCCACTCACCTGCTCTTGTCCCTGCTGCTTCTCCTGCCTTTCCTCCTGCCTGTGCCCCTGAAACCGACCTCCCAGCCCCCCATCTCTCGTCCCTATGCCCAGGGCAATCAGCATGTGTCGGAACCTTTCTACCTGCTTCTCCCGCTCATTCTGCTGCTCCCGCTCCTCCCGCTCCTCCCGCTCCTCCCGCTCCTCCCGCTCCTCCCGCGCCTCTCGCTGTTCCCGATCCTCCTGCTTCTCCTGCTCCTCACACTCCGACTTAGATTGGCCTGATGCTTCAGATGAGAGTTCCCTTTCCTCTTGCCGCCACTGCCTGCTTTGACTTTCAGGTACCTCCAAACCAAACCCTGATAGATCTGACCGTCCTTGCTCTTGAACCAACGGCTGACAAGATTCCTGCTGAATCTGCTGACGTGGCGAATGCAGATAAGGCGAGCGCTGACGTGGCGAGCGCTGACGTGGCGAGCGCTGATAGCTCGGTGGAAAACGGTTTCTCTCTCTCCCAGCAGATAAGCCGCCCCAAGCTGCTCCCTCCCTTTCACTTGCGCCACTCGTTTCTGATTGGCTGCTCCCTCTCCCCTCTGATAGGCTGCTCCCTCTGCCCTCTGATTGGCTGTCCCCTCTCCCCTCTGATTGGCTGGATTCTCTCGCCACCGATTGGTCCAGCGTGCTGGTTACTAGGCCCCCTTCCTGCCCTCTTCCAACATGTACGGCAGCAGAAGGCGCGGCACTGCCTCTCTGTGGTGGAGCACTCAATAACGGGACATTTGAGACTGGAGCAGCAAGAAACGCAGCACTCAATAACGGGGATTCCCCTCTTGGCCCGGGGGAGCGAGGGGGGAGCATAGACCTCCCTGAAAACCCACCCATACCGAATCCTCTTACCGCGAATCCCCCACCCCCACCTCCCTCTCTTCCCCCTCCTACTCGCCCTCCTTTACCCCCTCTTCCTCCCCCCACCCTCCCATACCTCCTACGCCCCAGTCCCCCTTAAAGTCTAAAGACGCTTTTCTGACTCTTAATCGGCGAGTAGGCTTGGCTCTGACGGTTCCTGCTGCTGCTGCTGATGTCGACATTGGTAGCGTTGCTGACGTGGCGAAGAACTCCGCTGCGGCTGACGTGGCTGATGACGAGGACAGAGAGGGTGGTGACGTCAGGAACGTTGAGGATGACGTGGAGGTTGAGAAGTCAGTTCCTCCTACTCCTCCTACTCCTCCTGCTCCTCCTACTCCTCCTTCTCCTCCTCTTCTCCTCCCTCTTCGCCTGCCGTCCTGTGCTGCTGATGCAGTGGCTTCACTAGAAGCGGCATCCCCGGCCAAACCAGCATCTCTCGTTATACTCGTTATAAGAACATCTCCTCTAGGAGCTCCCTTTGAAGCCCATTCACTCGCACCACTCTTTTCAAAATCGTCCCGTAAAACGTTCATATCTAATCCCATCCCCGTCCCTAACCCCATCCCCATCCCCATCCCCATCCCCATCCCCATCCCCGTTTCCCCCATGTCCGTTCCCACACCCAACCCTGTCCGCCATCTATAACTAGCATCCAGCGATATTCCACGTGCCAGCGGCCGCAACACGGCCTTCCCTCCTGCATACTCCTTTTCTGCTGCATAATAAGCCTTGTCTGGCGCAAATGCAGGCTCCTTCCCTGCATAAGCCTTCTCTCCGGCCGGCACGCTCGCGAAATCCACGGCAGCAGCAGCATCATCCACGTCAGCATCAGCAACAGCCACGTCAGCAGCAGCATCTTGAAGGATCGCGGAATCTAGGGCTTGCATGAACGCCTGACATCGGACGGCGCTCAGCTGTCGCTGAATCTCCAAAATCTGCAGCTTTCCTTCCAGCGTTTCGATTTCCATCTCGGGCAATCCTAGCCGTCCGCTGTGTCGCCTGCTGAGAGAGGCTTGGCCCGGCGATCTTAGGCTCGGGGAGGCCCCGCGCGGCGAGGCTCGGAATGATGAGGCTCGGAGTGGTGAGTGTAGGCGCGGCGAGGCGAGAGGGAAGGCGAGGCTCGGGAACCCTGCTCGAGGGGAATCTTGCGGTGGGGATGCCATGCCTGGCTAGGCTCGGCATGGTGTGGCTCGGCAAAGCTTCAAAGGACGGCTTCGCTCAAGGACTTAGCGTGACGTGCAAATGCACTACAGAGAAGGCTTTATTCAGGACAGGACTAAATGGCATAATGCTGTTAGCAGCAATAGACTACATAAATAACAACATTATCCGAAGTGGTATGCACTATGCATTGAAAACAATGCGGTGCGGCGCGGTTGGTCTTATAGTACGACTACTATGGCTGGGAAAAATAAACGGCATTCAACAGCGGTCCTATCAACAGTGACTGCTAGTGCTAAGTACCATTGGTTCTGTGTGTCTTTTTGGTTCTTGGGATCGTTTCGAGTCTGTGATACTGTGTCTCAGTTTGGGCCTGTGTCGTTATCTCGTGAGAAAGTTGGCAGTGATGCTTGTGGTTGGCAGTGGCGGTCCAGACTATCGTACGCTATAAGACACGATTCGCTTCGAGATGTTACATGTCATCTACTCTCGGCATTCTCAATGTCTACAAAATACACGACCATTTGCTTATAATTCTTCCCCTGATTCCCCGAAGTGTTCAGATTTTATCATACGGTCACTCTACAGTTCCTACCAAGACAGCGCCGTTACGAAGCGGAAGCGGGTTTCGAGTTTTTGCATAGGTAGTGATGGGTTATTATTTGTGTAACCTATCACAACCCGAACCACACAAACACTGCGGCAAAACCAATGGTTTGTGTGGTTCGGGTCGTGATGTGATGTTCCCAGCACAAAGTAAACGTGCGCTAGGTACCCGGCTAAACAAAATTTTCAAAACACACGCTGAGAGTCTTTCTTAGCGCCGCCTGTTCATTTGAAAGCCCTCGAAAACACGCCCTTACGTCTTTCTCATTCCCACTGGTCCACCCCCCTCCCGTTTCATCCACCATCATCTTTCCCATACTTGTCACATGCTCATACTTCGGGACTTCACGTGGCCATAACTGATTTTCCTGGATTTAGGGATACATATTCGATTTATATTTCAGATTTTGTCAACGGGAGTACTATCGAGGAAAGACCATATTTTCGCAGCCATGGCGAATAGGTCGGCCAGCAACCCGGATCCCAACGATCCGACCTCCCCAACTGCCACGTCATCATACTCCACAGCTTCTAAGGACGTCTATAGGCGACACGGTGTCACGAGTCCCCCGTTAGATCCGAAGCTTCCTACGTCCATCCCGCCCGGATCCTCCCTCTCTCCCTCCCTCCTCCCAACCTCTCCGAACCTCCTCCCTTCCGAGCGTCACTTACGATCTCCGCAGCAAGCGAACCTGTCGGTTAGGTCCGGAAGCCGGCTCCAGAGCCAATATCGGCCGAGGCCGCAGCCGCCAGGTTTGGCACAAGTGGACCTTTCTTTCCGAGCCTTGGTGGCTCGGCATCAATACCTGCTAACGACAATGGCGATCCTAGCCGTCCTTTGTACAATCTACCTGTACTTCGCGATTTCCATGGATGACGGAGAAAGCTCCAAATGCGGGGGACTGAGAGGGAAAGCGCTAGCGGATTGCAGATTGATGCTGCAGATGCACAGGAAAGCAGCTGACGTTGATTCGGGAGAGGATGGAAGAGGTAGGGTTGGGAGAGTTGATGGTGGTAATGTTGGTGCCACTGCCAAGGGAAGAGGACTTAAGGATTCTAGGAATCTTGGTTCCGCTGCTAATGGTGATGTTGATGCTGATGCTGATGATGATGCTGATGGTGGTAGGGGAGGGGATGGTGGTTCTGGAGGAGGGAGAAAGGAGAAAGTGGTGTATGAAGTGGGGGAGTGACTGACAGCAGTGCTACATTTGCCATAATGTACGGTAGTAATCAATCAGTTGCAATCAATCGCTTCATTTAGTACCATGTTCAATTCAATATACCGTACGGTAATTGCGAGAGAACACCTTGTTGCACCGCACCGCACAGACCCACCCTTCATATACGGTAGTTAGAATGCCTCAATGAGTATGAGCCAGCCTCGCACAACCTGCTCTCCTCTCCTGTATACCACTGGGTACTGAAAATGGGTGAAGTCAGAGGTCCAAACCCAAGGGAGAAACCTAGTGGAAGGAATCTCTAGAAGATACACATAAAGAGACTACAGGTACGGTAGATGCTTATTTGAGCACTACCCTAAACCCAAACATTTTTCAGGGGATACTACACCCACAAACACGCCCTCCTGCATAGGATACCAAGCACACTGGCCGCTGCACTCCATTGAAAGGCAAAAGAATGTGTGTGATGTGATGTACCAATCCATGACTGCTGCTACCGTACCTGTTGAAAGTCCAAACGGCTGACGTGCCTTGCATGGACCACGCAACGCAAGCGCATTTTTCGGTCTTGTTCAGCACAGCAGCGCTGCCCACCATCCTCCTTTACTAGTCTTTACTAGTCGGTACTAAGATTATAGTAGTTTGTGAGCTTTCGAAAGCTCCTGAGTCAACTCAAAGGTCACTAAGCTTTGTAAGCTCCGATTTTGAGGCGCCTGGATGGAAAGCCGTGAACAAAAAGCCGTGACTACTCGTTGAACGAGAGGACAATAAACGTGTCTTGGATCGACCACGCGCGTTTTTCGGCCTTATCAGGAGGGTTCAGCACTGCCTCGTCTTCTGTGAACAGCCGGTAGCCGATGATGATCTCCATGCGCTGACGCGCCCGCACCGCCACTTCAAAGAAGGACAGCTCCTCTCCGTCTGTGAGGTAGAGCTCTGCCGGGCGAATATACATCTCGTTGCCCTGGAGGGAATGGGGAATGGAGGGGTGCAGAGGGGTGCAGAGGGGTGCAGATGGAGCGCAGTGAAGAGCTGGTACCCAATAATGATCTCCATGCGCTGCCGTGCCCGCACCGCCACTTCAAAGAAGGACAGCTCCTCTCCGTCTGTGAGGTAGAGCTCTGCCGGGCGAATATACATCTCGTTGCCCTGGGGGGGATTGGGGGGGGGGGGGGGGGGGGGGGGGGAAATGGATGGGTACAGAGGGGTGCAGAGGGAGCGCAGTGAAGAGCCGGTAGCCGATGCGATGATGATCTCCATGCGCCGGCCGGATGTACATCTCGTTGCCCTGGAGGGAATGGTATGGACGGGTCCAGAGGGGTGCAGAGGGGTGTAAATGGAAGATGGACAGATCCTCCCCGCTCCCCAACCCTCTTCCCAGGGCAATCCCAACCCAATGTTTTCCCCCCACTCCCGCCAACCTCCCCCACCGTCCATTCTCCCTCCTCCACGTACCTCTTCTGAAAATGGCTCCTCCAAGACGCGGTTGACCTCCCTATCCTCCAAGGTGAGATTGGAGACGACTCAAGCCCGGCCTCTTTTCCCCCTCCCACCTCCCACCTCTTACGTTTCCCCTGCCTGTCCTGTCCCCCCCCTCTTCTCTCAACATACCTCTTCTGAAAATAGCTCTTCCAAAACGTGGTTCACCCCCCTGTCCTCCGCCACCTGCCCTCCCACAAACCACGCCTTCCCTCACCATGTGCCCTTCCCCCCCACCATTCCACCCGCCACTCCCCCCCCCTTCTCTCAACATACCTCTTCTGAAAAGAGCTCCTCCAAAACGCGGTTAACCTCCCTGTCCTCCGCCACCTGTTGGGAAGTGACAAAAACGGGAGTGGAGAGAGAGACAGAACAAGGTGGGGGTAAAGATTAACATGACGGAGTTGGAAAGAGGGACTAGATGAGGGCGAGAGTTAGCAAGCAAAGGGCGGCAACTCGGTTGACTCCCCTCACCTGCGAGCAAGGGACAAGCACAAGGGAGCGCATGCGCGAGTCAAGTCACGCGGTGGAGGAGAGGAGGAGAGGAGCAGAGGAGCAGAGGAGCAAGGGAGCATCTCGCCATCGCCAGAGTCATAGGCACGAGCTTGTAGCTGAACTTTTAGCCGCTGATCCGTAATGGAACAGTAGGGAAACCCTGAACCGTAACCCCTACACCCTGAACTCACCAACGCCAGAGTCATAGGCACGGGCTCGTAGCTGAACTTATAGCCGCTGATCCTGGAGACTGAAACAAGGGAGCGCGTGCGCGAGTCGAGGATCTACGAGATGACAATCGACTGCTGCAAGGAGCAAGGGAGTGTCTTACCATTGCTGAGATTCTGAACCCTAAACCCACCATTGCTTGTGCCATCGAGACGAGCTCGTTAAATAGCACGTAATCACTGATCTTGGAGACTGAAACCACGGAGCGAGTGCGCGAGTCGAGGATCTGCGAGATGCTAATGGACTGCTGCTATGAGCAAGGTAGTGCCTTTACCATCGTCACCAGTGCCATAGAGACAAGCACACTTTGCTGTGCACGTACCATTGCTAGCGCCATTGCACCGAGACGAGGGAGCGCGTGCGCGAGTCGAGGATTTCCGAGATGACAATCGACTGCTGCGACGCCTGCTGCATCTGCCCCACCCGCTCATGAGGAGGTGGAGAGGCGGAGAGGAGGACAAGGAAGACGAGGAGACCGGGACAGGGCAAAACAGACCCCAATGCACGTACCATTGCGAGAGCCATTGAAACCAGCTCGTTGCTGAGAACATAATCACTAATCTTGGACACTGAGACGAGGGAGCGCGTGCGCGAGTCGAGGATCTCCGAGATGACAATCGACTGCTGCGACGCCTGCTGCATCTGCCCCACCCACGAGGACGTCGACGTGGGGCGCGGGTACGTGATGCTGGAGTTGCTGCGCCGGTGGCCCTTGCTGCCCGCCGGCATGCGCTTGGACTGAAGGGGGGAGGATGGGGGGAGGACGTGGAGGTTGGGGAAGAGGGGAGGGGGCAGGGGAGAGTTGCTGCATCTGCCCCACCCATGAGGAGGTCGAGGTGGGGCTTGGGTATGTGATGGCGGAGTTGCTGCGCCAGTGGCCCTTGCTGCCCGCCGGCATGCGCTTGGACTGATGGGGTGGCAGGGGAGGGATGGGGACGGGGAGAGGGGGTGGTTTAGCAAGGAAATGAGGGATTGTGGGAGGGGAACGAGAGCAGCTGGAGGCGCGTGACATAGATGCTGAGACAGTTTTCGAGACGTCTCAAAAGTCGAGAGCAGCTGGAGGTACTTGATATAGCTGCTGTGACGGTGTCCGCTGGCATGCGCTGGCATGCGCTGGCATGTGCTGGCATGCGCTGGCATGCGCTGGCATGCGCTGGCATGCGCTGGCATGTGCTGGCAGCGAGACAAGGGAGCTCACAGAAGGTGGAATGGAAGTGAATGATCCAGTCCAGTCTGCCAAGCTCACAGGTAGCACCTACCCCACCTACGACCTCCCCCACGTAACACCCACCCACCTGGATGTCTCTGATGAGCAGCAGAGCAGCGAGGGAGCATTGGGAGGAGGCTCCCATGAGTGGACAGAACAGCCTCCCCCAGACAGCACCTGCACCAGCACCAACCTCCCTCCCACGTAGCACCCACCCACCTGGATGTCTCTGATGAGCAGCAGCGTGGCGAGGGAGCTTATATAAGATGGACAACCACCCATACGTACACCCCCCAACCACATATCACACCCCTGCACCGCCTCCCACCCACCTGGATGTCTCTGATGAGCAGCAGCGTCGCGAGGGAGCGTGAGTCGCAGTTGATGATTGAGTCCTCTAACCCCTCGTCCGCTAGAATGAGGATCTGGTGGGGAAGGGAGAAGGGGGGGTTGTAGGGGAGAGGAGAGTGAGCAATGCAGCAACAGTGTCTAAGGGAGCGTGAGTTGCAGTTGATGATGGAGTGTCCCAGCCCCTCGTCTGCTAGAATGAAGATCTGGGGGGGAGGAGGAGCACGCATAGAGCAGAGGGGACAGGGGAAAGAGTAGGGCAGAGGGGGAGTGAGTCGCAGTTGATGATGGAGTCCTCTAACCCCTCGTCCGCTAGGATGAGGATCTGGGGGGGAAGGAGAGTAGGGAGGGCGGGACGGAAGTAGGGGAGGCGCAATAAGGGCAGGGTGAGGGATAGATAGCGCGAGTCGCAGTTGATGATTGAGCCGTCCAGCCCATCGTCTGCTAGGATGAGGATCTGGGTGGGAGGGTATGGGAGTAGCAGAGGAGAAAGGGGAGGGGAGTAGAGAGAGGAGAGTGAGCATGGAGAAGAGGGGACGAGAAAAAAGCAGGGCGAGGGAGCGCGAGTTGCAGTTGATAATCGAGTTGTTCTCCAGCTCGCTGGGAACAGGGTTGATAATGCCCTTAGCACGTCAAATACTATCAGCCATTCACTCACCGAGTCGAAGGTCTCTAGCGGCAGGAATTCGAGGTGCCTGCGAATAACTGCGTTGCCCATGCGGTGCACGAGCGTCACGTTCTCCAGCTCGCTGGGGTTCAGCCCGCCCTCTATGAGGCACCAACATGAGACTAGTCCCTGAGCGCATAAGGTCGCTAACTTACCAGCACAGAAGCCTACACCCACTCACCGAGTCAAAGGTTTCCAGAGGCAGGAACTCCAGATGACGCCTGATAACGGCGTTGCCCATGCGGTGCACGAGCGTCACGTTCTCCAGCTCGCTGGGGTTCAGCCCGCCCTCTATGAGGCGCGCCTCCCTCTCCTCCACCGGCACGTCTGAGAAGATCCACAGCTCCGACCCCCTTGCTAGAAATGCTTCCAACACCTGCATGGGCAGGGTAGGGGCACAAGCAAGGTTCGATGTAGGGCTAAGGTTTGCGGGTGGAGGTTGCAGTGTAGGGAGAAAGGGGGGTTCAGCCCGCCCTCTATGAGGCGTGCCTCCCTCTCCTCCACCGGCACGTCTGAGAAGATCCACAGCTCCGAACCCCGCGCTAAGAACGCCTCTAGCACCTGCAGGGGAGAGGGGATTCAAGTTCAGGGTTTGTGGATGCATAAAGGAGAGCTCAGCAGCCCGCCTTCTATGAGCCGCGCCTCCCTCTCCTCCACCGGCACGTCTGAGAAGATCCACAGCTCTGAACCCCGCGCTAAGAACGCCTCTAGCACCTGCATCCGCATGGGCAGGGTCAAGGCACAATGTTCAAGGCCAGATTAGGGTTTGAGATTGAGGAGAGGGCAAGGGGGTTCAGCCCGCCCGCCCTATATGAGGCGCACCTCCCTCTCCTCCACGGGCACGTCCGAGAAAATCCACAGCTCCGACCCCCTCGCTAGAAATGCTTCCAACACCTGCATCGGCAGGCCATAGATTAGGGTTTTGGGTTGGAAATCGGAGTTAGAGGTTGTAGAGGAAGCGAGGGGAGTTCAGCCCGCCCTCTATGAAGCTCGCCTTCCTCTCCTCCACGCGCACGTCTGAGAAGATCCACAGCTCTGATCCGCGGGCCAAGAACGCCCCTAGCACCTGCATTGCATGGGCAGGGATCGAGGTTTGGGGTTGGGGGTTCAGGGTTTAGGGTTTGAGCTCGCAGCGAAAAAGGGGGGTTCAGCCCGCCCTCCATGAGCAAGGGTTTCGGGTTCAGGGTTCATTCTTCTCCATGGGCACGTCCAAAAAGATCCACAGTCCCAACCCCCGCGTTAAGAATGCTCCCTCAGTGAGTCAACTGAGTCAACTCAGAAGCTCCAGCCCTCCTTTCCCCCACATCTCCGCTCCCCACCTTCCCTCCTCTCACTCTTCCGACCCTCTTTCTCACCATGTCGTCAATATTGCGCCTCCAGCCCACTCCCTCTCCAGCCCACTCCCTCTCCAACCCTTCATCTCCCCCCTCTACCCCACCCATCCCCTTCTCCCTTCCCCTCGTCTTTCCCCCCTCTTCCTCACCCTGATCATGTCATTAATGTCGCACCACCAACCCGCAGTCCCCTCAACCCATCATCATCTCCTTCCCCCTTGCCCCCCACCCTTTCCCCCCCGTTTTCCCTCCCCTTCCCCCTACCCCCCTCTCTTCCTTCCCGTGATCATGTCGTGCCGCCAACCCACTTCCCCCACAACCCATCATCTCCTCCCCACTTGCCCCCCATCCTTCCCCCCTCTCTTCCTTACCGTGATCATATCGTCAATGTCGCGCCGCCATCCACAGAACAGGATTTTTTCGGGCAGCTTCGGCGGCGTTTCGATGTCGGGCAGTGGGGCGTCTTGCACCACAGGCAGCGGACCAGGGGCATAGGAATCGTCGTCCTCAGCTATCACAAGGACTGAGTCCTCAGGCTGAGACACATGGGGAGGGTGAAGAGAAACGGGAAGGGAAGGGGTGGTATGTATGGAGGATGGGAAAGAAGGGCGTCTTGCACCACAGGCAGCGGACCAGGGGCGTAGGAATCGTCGTCCTCAGCGATCACAAGGACTGAGTCCTCAGGCTGGGGAAGAGAGAGAGGCAGGAGGAGCGGGAGAGAAGGGAGGAAATGGAAGGTTGGGGAGCAGGCTCGGTGGTGGGTGCTAGGGGCAGGGGGGAAGGAAGCATCGTTCTCAGCAATCACAAGCACAGAGTCCTCAGGCTGTGGGGTGGGGAGGATGATGGGAGGGAGGAACTCCAGGTGGCAGGGGGGAAGGAAGCATCGTCCTCAGCAATCACAAGCACAGAGTCCTCAGGCTGTGGGGTGGGGAGGATGATGGGAGGGAGGAACTCCAGGTGGCAGGGGGGAAGGAAGCATCGTCCTCAGCAATCACAAGCACAGAGTCCTCAGGCTGTGGGGTGGGGAGGATGATGGGAGGGAGGAACTCCAGGTGGCAGGGGGGAAGGAAGCATCGTCCTCAGCAATCAAGCACAGAGTCCTCAGGCTGGGTCGGCGACAATGGGGGGAAGGAGAGGAGGGGGAGACGGGTCTAGGGGGCGAGAAAAAGGGCGTCTTGCACCACAGGGCACCACAGGCAGTGCGCCGGAGGCATAGGAGTTATTATTTTCGGCGATTACAAGGATAGATTATTCAGGCCGAGGGGTATGGACATTGGGAGATGCGGTGCGGTGGGCGGGCAGGGGGGGGGGAGGTAGAGTTGCATGGGTCGGGGGTAACGAAGGGCGTCTTCCAGCCGCGTGTGCTCTCTCTCTACGCACCCTCTTCACCTCCCCCTCCTTTTGAGACGCCTCAAAAGTCACACACACCTGAGACAGAGGCAGCACCCACCTGAAGCACATAGTCATCATCGGGGTTCAGCCACAGCCGCGTGTGCTGCCTATGCACCCTCTTCACCTCCCTGCACTTGCCCAGAGTACCTGAAACCGTAAAATGAACTCACCTGAAGCACATAGTCATCGTCCGGGTTGAGCCACAGCCGCGTGTGTCTTTCCTTATGCGCCCTCGTCACCTCCCCCTTCCCTCCTCCCTGCACTTGCCCAAAGTTGCGGAAACCGTAAAATGAACTCACCTGAAGCACATAGTCATCGTCCGGGTTGAGCCACAGCCGCGTGTGCTTTTCCTTATGCGCCCTCTCCCCCTCGCCCTCCCCTCCTCCCTCCCCCTCCTCCCCTTCCTCCTCCTCATCCTCACTCCCAATGCTGCTCCCGCCAGCAAACTCGAACCCCACCGCCTCTGTACTCTTCTCATAGTACGTCCGCGCAGAAACCCTCAAACCGCACGGCACCGCATCAGGGAACGAGAGCAGCACCTCCCGAAAGGTCTTTCCGACGAGCTCGGGCCAGTGCTTGGTGTAGAACTCGCAGTTCTCAAAGCCCAGGAGTGTTTCCCAGATCTGGGCGAGGCCGGGCTGGCGGGCGCACTGAATCATGAGGCGCCCGATCACGTCGTGCGCCACAACTGTTTCCACCATGCGACCTCCCACCATCTGTCCGTGGGTTGTGAGGGGAGAGGGGAGGGGAGGGGAGGGAGGAGGAAGAGAGGGAGTGAGTGGGTTCGGCCATTGCCAACTTGAGGAGGAGGTGGTGAGAAGCAAGGGTGGCTCCGGCGGGCCAGTGCTTGGTGTAGAACTCGCAGTTCTCGAAGCCCAGGAGTGTTTCCCAGATCTGCGCCAGGCCGGGCTGGCGGGCGCACTGAATCATCAGCCGGCCTATGACATCATGCGCGAGCACAGTTTCCACCATCCGCCCCCCCACCATCTGTGCGCGTTATTTGGGACAGGGAGGGAGGGGAGGTGAGAGGAGAGGAAAGGAAAAGGGGAGGGAAAAAGAGGGAGTGAGTGGGCTAGGGCGTTGCCAGATGGGAGGAGGGGAGGAGAAGCAAGGAAGCACGGTCTTCCCGACGAGCTCGGGCCAGTGCTTGGTGTAGAACCCTAAAGCCGGGCTGGCGGGCGCACTGAATCATGAGCCGGTCTATCACGTCGTGCGCTACCACTGTTTCCACCATGCGCCCCCCCACCATCTGTGCGTTGTTAAGAGGAGGGGTGGGGGGCGGATAGGAGGGGAGGAGGAAGGCAGGGGAGATATGCATGGGGGGGGAATGAAGGAGTGGGTTTGCGCACTGAAAGGTGGAAAGAAAAGAGAACCAGGATGGGAGGAGGGTGAGGGTGCAGATCTGGGCGAGGCCGGGCTGGCGGGCGCACTGAATCATCAGGCGCCCGATCACGTCGTGCGCCACCACCGTTTCCACAATGCGACCTCCCACCATCTGTGCGGTTAGAGGAGGGGAACAGGGTTTGAAAGGGTGGGATTGCGCAGTGAGTGAGGCCGGGCTGGCGGGCGCACTGAATCATGAGGCGCCCGATCACATCGTGCGCCACCACCGTTTCCACCATCCGTCCCCCCACCATCTGTGCGGTTAGGCAGAGGGGTGGGGGTTGATAGGAGCAACAGGATAAGAGGGGGGTGGTGAGGGTGCACTGAATCATGAGGCGGCCTATCACGTCGTGCGCCACCACCGTTTCCACCATGCGCCCCTCCACCATCTGTGCGGTTAGGAGGAGGGACAAATAGAGCAGAAGAGCAACAGGGAGGAGAGGGTGCAGCACTGCCAGGCCGGGCTGGCGGGCGCACTGAATTATGAGCCGCCCTATCACGTCGTGCGCTACCACTGTTTCCACCATCCGTCCCCCTACCATCTGTGCGGTTAGGAGGAGGGGTGGAGTGCGGGGGAAGGGGGGTGAACACTGCCAGGCTCAGATCCCTGGGGTCTGCAGCATCGGCACCACTCTACACCTCTCCTCACCGCTCTGTACCTCCTCTCACCTTGACGAGCTGCTGGTTGTCAATATCGCTCAGCTCCACCACAATGTGTCCCCTCAGCCCCTCCCTCACGCCCGTGAGGCTCAGCACCACTCTGAGCGCCCTGGCGTCTGCAGCATCGGCGTTCTCTGCCTCTGCTAGCACTATCAGCGCGCGGGCTGTTGAGACAGAGACCTTTTTCAGATCAGCCAGCACCAGGGGCGAGCCAGAGCTGCAGTAGCACAGGGCACAGGAGAAATGGAGACAAAAGGAGAAGGTTAGAGGCGACTGAGTCAGGCTCAGCCCCTCCCGCACGCCCGTCAGGCTCAGCACCACCCTCAGCACCCTGGCGTCTGCTGCATCGGCGTTCTCTGCTTCCGCCAGCACGATCAGCGCCCGGGCTGTTGAGACGGATACCTTCTTGAGATCAGCCAACACCAGGGGCGAGCCGGACCTGCAGCAACACGGGGAAGAGGGGACAGGAGAAAGGGAGACAAAGGGAGAAGGTTAGAAGCAACTGAGTCACGCTCAGCACCACCTTCAGTGCCCTCGCATCTGCAGCATCGGCGTTCTCTGCCAGCACGATCAAGGCTCGGACATTAGAGACAAAGAGCTTGGTAGGGTCAGCGCCCTTCTCCCTCTCTCTCTCGCTCATCACCACTGTCACCACCCAGCATTCCACCCAGCATTCCACCCAGCATTCCACCCAGCATTGGACATACCGGCAGATGACAGTGGTGCCATGAAAGTTAAACTCCACCTCCTGAATCTCGCTCTCCATCTCCTTCTCCCTCTCGCTCAAACCATGTATGTATGTACCATAGTAATGAGACCAATACATACATGCTTCACCACCCAGCATTCGACATACCGGCAAATGACAGTGGTGCCGCGGAAGTTGAACTCCATCTTTTGAATCTCGCTCTCCATCTCCTCCTCCTGCTCGCTCATCCCCATTGTATGCATGCACCATGGTACTGTAATGAGGCCACACATGCTTCACCACCCGGCAGCATTTCACTCACCGGCAAATGACAGTGGTGCCGCGGAAGTTGAACTCCATTTTCTGAATCTCGCTCTCCATCTCCTCCTTCTCCCTCTCGCTCATCACCACCACCACGCCGCCTCCCATGCTCTCGTTTGCCACTGCCAGCTGCTTCAGCAGCGATGCCTGATGGGGCAGGAGTGGAAGAGAGGGGACGAGAATACGATAATGAGGGGTGCACGGTATAGGGAGGGACAGCATCATAACCACCACCACGCCCCCTCCCATGCTCTCGTTTGCCACTGCCAGATGCTTCAGCAGCGATGCCTGATGGGGCAGGAGTGGAAGAGAGGGGACGAGAATACGAAAATGAGGGGTGCACGGTATAGGGAGGGACAGCATCATAACCACCACCACGCCCCCTCCCATGCTCTCGTTTGCCACTGCCAGCCGCTTCAGCAGCGATGCCTGATGGGGCAGGAGTGGAAGAGAGGGGACGAGAATACGATAATGAGGGGTGCACGGTATAGGGAGGGACAGCATCAAAACCACCACCACGCCCCCTCCCATGCTCTCGTTTGCCACTGCCAGCTGCTTCAGCAGCGATGCCTGATGGGGCAGGAGTGGAAGAGAGGGGACGAGAATACGATAATGAGGGGTGCACGGTATAGGGAGGGACAGCATCATAACCACCACCACGCCCCCTCCCATGCTCTCGTTTGCCACTGCCAGCTGCTTCAGCAGCTGCCTCACCCCCATGCCCATGCCCACCCCCGTTCCCATCCCCACGCCCAACAAACCCACCAGCTTGTCGCTCCAGCCGAGGATGAGCGTGTGGTTCTTCTCAATCACCCCACCGCACCCCTACCCCCACCCAACCCATCCCCACCCATCCCCACGCCCACCAATCCACCAGCTTGTCGCTCCAGCCGAGGATGAGCGTGTGGTTCTTCTCAATCACCCCACTGCACCCCTACCCACCCCATCTCCACCCATCCCCATCCCCATGAACCCACCAGCTTGTCGCTCCAGCCGAGGATGAGCGTGTGGTTCTTCTCAATCACCCCATCGCACCCCTACCCACCCCATCTCCACCCATCCCCATCCCCATGAACCCACCAGCTTGTCGCTCCAGCCGAGGATGAGCGTGTGGTTCTTCTCAATCACCCCATCGCACCCCTACCCACCCCATCTCCACCCATCCCCATCCCCATGAACCCACCAGCTTGTCGCTCCAGCCGAGGATGAGCGTGTGGTTCTTTCAATGACGTCGCTCTTGCCTTTCTTCAGCGAGTCCACCTTCTCCGAGATGCCCTCCGACACCAACCCCACCATCAGCGCAAAGATCAGCATCCCGCCAATGCTGATAGCCACGCCCACGTCCACGCCCACACCCACGCCCATGCCCATGCCCATGCCCATGCCCATGCCCACGAACCCACCAGCTTGTCGCTCCAGCCGAGGATGAGTGTGTGGTTCTTCTCAATCACCCCACCGCACCCCTACCCACCCCATCCCCACCCATCCCCATCCCCAGGAACCCACCAGCTTGTCGCTCCAGCCGAGGATGAGTGTGTGGTTCTTCTCAATGACGTCGCTCTTGCCTTTCTTCAGCGAGTCCACCTTCTCCGAAATGCCCTCCGACACCAACCCCACCATCAGCGCAAAGATCAGCATCCCGCCAATGCTGATAGCCACGCCCACGCCCACGCCCATCCCCATGCCCACGCCCATCCCCATGCCCATGCCCATCCCCATGCCCATGCCCATCCCCATGCCCATGCCCATGCCCATGCCCATGCCCATGCCCATACCCATGCTCCCTGCTCCCTGCTCCCTGCTCCCTGCTCCTCCCTCTCCCCCGCACGAACCCACCAGCTTGTCGCTCCAGCCGAGGATGAGTGTGTGGTTCTTCTCAATGACGTCGCTCTTGCCTTTCTTCAGCGAGTCCACCTTCTCCGAGATGCCCTCCGACACCAGCCCCACCATCAGCGCAAAGATCAGCATCCCGCCAATGCTGATGCTCACTCCCACGATCCGCGGGCCCCACCCCTCGCTGTCCGCGTGGTTACCAGCGTCTGCCACGTAGGACCACGCCCGCCACGTGGCGTCGCCCAGATCCATCCGGTCTTTCGATCCGACGGCGTACAGGGCAAGGCCTCCCAGGGCAATGCTGGTGTTGGGATGGAGTAATCGGGGAGAGGGGGAAGAAGGGAGTGGCAAAGGACAAAATCAGAGTCAACTCTTCACCCTGATCCATCTACTTATGTATATCATACGACGTTTCCAGGGCTTAGCACAAGCCTTTCAAGCCCTCCCAGTCCTCTGACCACTTGAACCAAACCAAACCCTTCAAGCCATCCCAACCCTCCCAGCCTCCAACCAAGCCCTCCGGCACATGATGGGGTTTGGGGGGAAAATGAAAGCCAGTGAAGGGGCAAGCACTCACAGGAATAGCAAGGCGGAGAGGAGGGCAGCGCTCTTCCTCGATACCTCCTCGGCGCCCTTCATCGATACGCCAGGCGCTTGCTCATCGACACCTCCTCGCCCACCCCAGCCTCACAGGCAGAGGAGAGGAGGGCTGGGTGGGCCGGTCAGGTGCATTGAACTCTGAGGTACTCACAGTAGCAGCGTGGCGGCGAGGAGAGCAGCGCCCTTGACCCAGGAGTGCATGGAGAAGAGCACGTCAACCTTATACGCCAGCCTCTTGCTCATCGACACCTCCTCGTCCGCTCCAGGGGATCCCGCCGAAGCACCACCAGCAGCAGCAGCAGCAGCAGCAGCCGCAGCAGCAGAGGCGGACGCGGAGGAGGAGGAGGCAGCGGCGGTCGTGTGGCCGTCTGTTGCCTTGGGTCGCCTTCTCCCGAAGAGCTGTGCCACGTCATCGATATTGCGGATGATGAAGATGGGGAGGACGAGGCAGAGGATGGACGCTAGGAGAGCCACCCTGCGCCAGAACAGCTCCTCCTCCTCCTCCTCCTCCTCCTCCTCTTCCTCTTTCGTCTCCTTGGCTTTCTGCTTTCGCTTGTTCTCTTCCTCCCTCTCGCTCTCCTGTTCTCCCTTGCTCTCCTCTCTCCACCCGATTCTGTTTCCGTCAGAGATGTCTGTGGGGAAGGGGGAGCAGGTACCTTCCGCTGCTGCCCCCTCTTCTCCTTCCACCTCGCATCTGCTGCTGCTGCCGCTTAGGTCGATCCCGCTGACGCCAGCAGGAACGTCATCAGACAGCTTGGCAGCAAGGCGCGTGTGCTTGCGCTGCAGTTCTGAGAGCCGCAGCTGGGAGGGTGGAAGGGGGGAAAGGGGGGGGAAGGGGGGAAAGGGGGGGGAGGCGAGGAGTTGAGCAGGGCAGGCAGGAACGTCATCAGACAGTTTTGCAGCAAGGCGCGAGTGTTTGCGCTGCAGTTCTGAGAGCCGGAGCTGGAAGGGTGGAAGGGGGGTGGGGGGGGGAAAGGGGGGGAAACGCGGGGGAGGCGAGGAGTGGTGCAGGGCAGGAACGTCATCAGACAGCTTGGCAGAAAGGCGTGAGTGTTTGCGCTGCAGTTCTGAGAGCCGGAGCTGGGGGAGGGAGCGGGGGGGAGAAAGGGAATGGCGGGGGAAAGAACGTGTGAGTGCTTGCGCTGCGGTTCTGAGAGCCGGAGCTGGAAGGGTGGAAGGGGGGTGGGGGGGGGAAAGGGGGGGAAACGCGGGGGAGGCGAGGAGTGGTGCAGGGCAGGAACGTCATCAGACAGCTTGGCAGAAAGGCGTGAGTGTTTGCGCTGCAGTTCTGAGAGCCGGAGCTGGGGGAGGGAGCGGGGGGGAGAAAGGGAATGGCGGGGGAAAGAACGTGTGAGTGCTTGCGCTGCGGTTCTGAGAGCCGGAGCTGGAAGGGTGGAAGGGGGGTGGGGGGGGGGGAAGGGGGGGAAACGCGGGGGAGGCGAGGAGTGGTGCAGGGCAGGAACGTCATCAGACAGCTTGGCAGAAAGGCGTGAGTGTTTGCGCTGCAGTTCTGAGAGCCGGAGCTGGGGGAGGGAGCGGGGGGGAGAAAGGGAATGGCGGGGGAAAGAACGTGTGAGTGCTTGCGCTGCGGTTCTGAGAGCCGGAGCTGGGGTTGGGGAGGTGGAAGAGAAGGGAGGGCGGAGGAGTAAGAATGTGAAGGCGGTAAGGCAAGAACGCATAAGTGTTGCACTTGGGTTGGGAGTTAGCGGAGGAAGGGGGGGAGGCGGGTGGAGGGGGCAAGAACGTGGAAGCGTTGCAGTTGGCAAGAACGTGCAAGAGTCGGAGCTTAAGGATGGAGTGGGGGGTGGGAGTTGGCGGATGGGTAAGGGCGGGGCGGGTGTGGGGGGACCAAGAACGTGTGAGTGTTTGCACTGCAGCTTTGAGTGTGGGAGAATCTAAAAATACGGATAGGGAACGATGGACGGAAGGAGTAGCGAGCGAGAAAAGGGGGAGACAGTTTCTGAGGCGTCCCAGAAAGCACATGAATGTTGTTTCAAGAGTTGCTCGAGAGAGGTTAAAGCATGCGGAACAATGCTGCTTGAGATGTCGCCACCCCCTTACCTCGAGAGATAGAGCTTGCTTGTACTGGTAACCACCCCAGCCTACTGCTGCTGTGCAGACGAGCAGCATCTGCCGTGAAAGGCGGGGGAGGAGAAGAGCGTGGGGTGGAACGAGGAGAGCGGCGGGAGAGGGAAGCGAGCGGGGGAGGGGAAGGAGCGGAGCGAGGGGACGGGGAGGGAGGGAGTGGGGGAGAGGAAGGAGAAGAGCGGGGGAGAGGAAGGAGGAGAGCGGGGGAGGGGGAGGGGAGAAGGGGGAGATGAAGGGGGACATGATGGGAAAATGGATGGGGAGAGGAGGAGGAGAGAAGGGAAGGACGAAAAAGGGCATCTGAGTCGATTCGATATGTGAGCTGGAGGAGTAACACACGTGGCTGTGATCTTGTAACTCAAAAGAACGCAGCTGATCTCGCACGTCTCTGCTTAAGTATGAGTTCCTCATCCCGATAACACAGCAGCGCGTTGAACAACGCGCGCAGGTGCGTTCTGCACCTGCTGCTCACTCCGCTGCACCTTGGTGCTCGAAATGCATGATCCCATCCTTGTGCACTTCGAGCGGACTTAAGACGAAGTTTTTTTTACTCACCAGGAACAGAACGGTGCTGCCGATTCGCTTCTTGCTGTTGCTTGAGGCCTCGGCTCGGCGCGCAGCAGCGTTCTGCATCTGGTACTCATGCATGATCCCATCCACTACCTGCCTCCTTCTATCCCAGTGCATTTCGAGCAGACTCAAGAACGAAATTTCTACTCACCAGGAACAGCACGGTGCCGCCGATTCCCTTCCTGCTGGAAGCCTCTGCTCGGCGCGCAGCAGCGTTCTGCATCTGGTACTCATGCATGATCCCATCCACCTGCCGCCTAGCCGGCGAGTTTGCCCGCTTAACACTCCTCGCTGTCCTAAACCGGTCTTTGGCGCTCCCTTCCCTAACGTTCCCTTCGGATCGCTCGTCTTTAAAGGTTGTCATGCGACCGCCGTTACCACTACCGTCGTATTCGTAACTCCGTCGCTCGGTGAGTCCGCTTTCGCTAGGCCTCTCCGCAGACTTTCCGCTGAATCGAGACGGGGGAGGAGGGGCCATCCGCAGGAGGGATCCTACTATTGCTTCCTAACAGCCGTTGATGGGTGTTGCCGGTTGCCTTGGGAAACGAATTGTGAAGAGAGTTTCACGGCGAATGCTGGGCTGGAAGAGGGGAAAGCAACAGGAGTCCGCGGAGGTCTGGAATGGAATATAGAGAAGCGAGGAGAGGAAAAGAAAGAGGAGAAGAGAATAAGGGGGGGTGAGGGAGGGGTGAAGGGGTGGAAGAAGGGGAGGCGGGAATGGGGGGGGGGAGCGTGGGGAAGAAGGTGGGTGGGGGGGGATTGTGAGGTAGGGGCAGATTGAAAATGTGGGTGAGTGTCTACGGATAAGCGCTCGCGAAACTCATGGAATGCAGGAGTTGTAAAGGATCGCGACGCTTGTACAATGCAGGGGATGTAACCCGCGAAACGCGTGCATAAGAAAGCATGGCCTAGGCTCGCAGATCAATCACGGACATATCTTGGACTTATATATCATCGCGACAAATATATTGGACTCGGTCTCAACTCATGAACACCTAAGAAGAAGGCAATTTCCACGTGAGGGTATTAAGTACAGCGTTTAAACCCATCTTTTTTATCTTCCGTGAAGATCTGAGCCGATCAAAATGGCGTTAAACTAAGCCCGTAATCGTATCTGAATGTAAGCATTCCATCAGTAATTCCATCGTATCGGATATAAGCCCAAGCTCCCATAAGATGAATCCGTCCGGTAAGCCAAGATTTTCAGCCAGAATTCCCGCAAACAGTCAAGAATACATCAGATTCGCCTGCACATAAACCCTGGTCTTTATCGAACCATAGCATTACGAGATAAATAGCTAACTACGAAACCACGAGATTCTTACCTGAAATGCGCTATCGTCTTTGTTCCAAAAGGATCTGGAAAGATCCACCAAATGTCCACATTGCGGTCTTAAAGTCGCAGAAATGGCGTTAGTAGCATATCTAAATCGGAGAGCGGTCTTGAACTGTGACGAGGAGTGAACTGCGGTGCCACGCACCGCCAGGCGATAACGCTAATAATACGCCATGTTTTCACATGGCACGCGAACAAGGCCTCGATATCCTGTCAGTGACAAGTCACTTCGTAAAGGCGACTGAGAACTAAGCAAACAAGATTGCTCTAAACAAGGTCGGATAGATTTCACAAACGCAAGCCGCGGCGATCAAAATGGAACATCTGCTGCAGAGACGCCGACAGGTAGGGAGAAACTTACGCCATGGAAAGCACGCATGTTCCTGACCAGCAATACGCCCTAACTTACTCCACTAGGGAACAGCCTTAGGCTACTAAGCAGTAAGGAAATCAACGATGTAAGAGCAACCTGCGAGATAGGCTATTGTCTTGGACGAACCCTGCTCAACCGTTGTCCGTGTACATAGATGTACTCTAAAACACTAATTCATCCCACTGAACCGCTTTACTTATCTATCTAGCTTTCCCCAGGCCAATGACCAACATCAATATGAAAGAAGATTCCGGCAATTCCAAGGTCGCCCCAGCCAATCCACGGCTGATCCAGGTCAACTGAAGGAGAAGCATGACAATAACGAGGGTTCCGGAATCCCTGGAGAGGGCGATGAGATGATGGAGCACGTTGTCGGCCAGAAAGGATGGCGGGAGAGAGCTGTGTGTACGGCGGATGGATGCGGAAGCTGTGGGGGAAGTGAGGGCGGTGGGGGGTTGCGGGTTCGTGCGGAAAGCATGACATAGAAGCGAGGTTGGGGGCAGATCACGCTTGCGCGTTCGTAAAACGTTGTTGAATGTGTTTTAGCACGGTTGGGTACGGTAAAAGAATCATCACCGTTTTTAAACGTTACATAACGTATTTAACCGTACATTGAGAACCCCACCACATCAGCAATCATGGGTGCCCTAAGGACGTGTATGATTTTTTTCTAGGTTCGGAAAACAGGTCACCTTTGTCTGGTTACCCGCTTCGTTAATTTCGCGAAAGCTTTGTGACGAAAGACATTCCTCATGAAGACGTGGCAAATTCAACCTAGGTATTCCGAACTCGACTCGAGTATATGCATTAATGTGGGCGCGTACAGTGAACCAAACGTGTGTGGTTTTGCGCACGTACGACAATTAACGAGTTCTGCGAAACTTTTGCGACACAATGTAATCCTCGGGAAAAATCGCAGTCAGTATATTGAAGTGGCGCGATGTCTACAAAATTATACCTGGTAACCTACATCCCCTACGAGCGGCTCGGCTCACCCCCTATAAGGTCGAACATTCAAATTCGACCTTGGGTGTGTGATTGACCTACTTGAAACTCTCATGCGCGGTTCAAAATTCACGTTCAATGGAAGTCGAACACTGTTCGGCTCAAGTTCAAATGCTACATTCGACAAAAAAAAATGCAAACTTTGCCAATTTCAAAAATCATACACGTCCTAAACTTCGAGCGGATGACTGATGCGCCAACCCCATGGTCGCGTGAGGTCGCCAAGGCACCCACTATGCGCATGAATGTCCCGATTAAAAGCACGAGTCAGACTGTACCACCAAGGCACTCTATACAAACATATTAGGCAACTCCCTGTGGACCTTCATTGGGGGATACACAGACAACACTTTCCAGCCATTGCTACCGTATTCTTGTATGTAGACAAGGATACAATAACCAGCTCGAGACAATGCCAGTCCGAGGAGATGTTGCTCTCAACTCCGCACACTAGCTTATATAAATAACTAGTATGATGTTGCCGTGTCGTGTGATCTGTCACACAGACCAGTCACCACCACAGTAATCCCCCTGTCATGAGCAAACGTTCAGAAACTTGAGGGTTTTGTACGACAGCAGCGAGAAGAGCCCAGCAGCAGCGAATCCAACGGCTGCCGTTGAAAGGATTGAGAAAGCGAGGAACGTCAGGGCAGCAATGCTCCAACCCAGTGCTAGGTATACGCAGCAGAGCGGCACGAAGACGCACATCCCTAAGAGAATCCCAAAAAGCACGGAAACCACGGAGAGCAGATCCGCGATTTGGAAAACCATCTGCCTGGAGTCTAATCTCGTTCGGCAGACTTCCATGGCGTGAGTGGCTGCCCGTTTTTCTCTCGGGCAGTCATTGGCGTCAGTGATGAGTCGAAGAAGGGCAAAGTTTTTGGGCATGCTCGCAAGGCCCTTCCACACGACCAGGCACCGGCATTCGGGGCAACTGATGCATTTCTTCCCGAAAAAATCCTGCCAAGAGCCGAAGAGGTACGGAGGGTGGGAGGCTAACAAAGTGAGGGATGAGGTATGGAAAGGATGATTGGAATGGGATCTAGGAAGAAAGTTACCAGGAGCCAAAGAGACGGGGTATATTGTAAGAAACGATTGAAACATCCCCAGATGAGACATCGGTCTAGAGAAGGCACAGCGTATCAACCTTGGCCTTTCAAGAGCCAGCCAGCCCTTCATGCATACTCTAACCAAGAAAGGGTCCTGGAGCTGTTGACTTCTGAGTCGACTCAACCCTCAAAGTCACCCTCGGTGGTTACCCTGATCAAAAGACGAATCCTGACACACGTGCCGTTTGAGTGGACTCAGATCCAAGTGCCTAACGCGCAGGTCATCCCAAAGGAATAACCTGTGTCATCCCTAATGCCTACCCGAGTCAAAGGGAGATTCCTGGCACAGGCTTGGCAGATCGTGTGGCCACAGGCGACCAGCCGCGGAACGCGCTGCTCCTGATCGTACAGCTCCAAGCACACCGGACACTCCGGGACTACTGGAGTGACTACCCCCTCCGCTTCCCCCGCCGCTCCCCCCGTCGATCGTAGCTCGGAACCCCCTAAAGTTCCGCTGACGATGGCTTTGCAGTCTGAAGGGTTATCTGCTGCTGAAGAACCCTCCGCTGAGGGGGCATCTGTTGACGTGGCATCTGCTGACGTAGCATCAGCTGACGTAGCATCTGCTGACGAGGTATTTGGCGGGACATCGGCGCAGCCATTGGAGCAGTCGTCCCAGTCAGAGCAGCTCGCGTCGGCCAATTCTACCATGGCGAGGACGACGAGGAGGAAGAGGACGACGAGGAGAACGAGGACGATGAGAACCGAATAATCACACGTGAACCTCGATCCGTGTTGAGGATTGTTGAGCGTGACCACACGTGACTGGAAGATGCCGATCTGGATTCAAGGCAAGCCTGCTTCGGACGTTACGCAGGCGGTTTATAATAGCGAAGCTGACGAGTCAGCATTGACTCATGACGCTATATCGGGTATGAAAGTACTCAACGAAGAGAGGCTTGCCAAATATAAGAAAATGGATCTGGTTTCTGTTACATAACTTAACTTGACGTTACGACTGGGTTCCTAAGAACAATTGCCAGAACTAGAAGACAACTATGACCGAGTGATGTGAGCATGCCACAATAAAGACGAGGTCACACTGTCAGACCTAGGAGACACACCAGCGACGCGCCTTATCCATCGATTGCTTGGGGCATCCCTTAGTGTGAGCGAGTGACGTGGCAGTGACAGGAAAGGTGTGGAGAAGGAAGCGGGAAATACGGATGTCAAGCTGGTGAGTGGTAGTGCTGATGGTGGTGATGGTGGTGGTGGTCGCGGTCGAGATGCTGGTTGTGCCAGTGTGGGCTCGAGGGGGATGAGGGGAGGAAAGGTGGGGGAAAAGGGGGGGGGGAAGGGGGGGTGAAGGAAACTTGGGGGCGAGGGTGGCGGGGAGAAGAGGCGAGGGGAGATAGCGGGAGGAGGAGAGAAGGGAGGGGAGCTGGCGGGGAGGGAAGGGAGGGGGGAAGGGGAAAGGAGGGGGAACAAACGTCGGGGAGAAGAGCAGGGGGGAGAACGAGGAGGGAGGTAAGGACGTGGCACCTCATACCGGTTTAGGCACATCGATCGGCACACCGATGTGTCCACACTGCAAAATTGCAATCGCCTGGGCACACGGAGCCACATGTGACAGGATCGAAAATACCTGGGGCAAAATTGCCCGATCTCCACAATTTCACGATGGCACATCGATCGTGCGAGCCAGAGGTGCCAGCATTTTGGGCACCAATTTACTGTACACTTGCGAGTAAGGGCGAAACTAGATACCAGCGTGTTCGCGATGTCCCGATTTTACTGTACAAGCCAGGATCGATCCCCACCCAGGATCGATCGTGGCTCCTCCCTAGAGGTGCCGCGTCCTAAGGACGCGGCACCTGTTTTTATTTTGCCACGATCGATCGTGGGTGAGGATCGATGTGCCGCTTGTACAGTGATTTGGCGATGTCGCTAATGCCTGGTATCCTTTTTTCGCTGAACCTCGAGAATATACAGTAAAAGAGTACCCAAAATGGTGGCACCTGCAGCTCGCACGATCGATGTGCCATGGTGCACACATCGATCGTGCATTTGGGATGGCGGGAGAGCACATTGCGCCACAGGTGACAGACGAGATCGATCGGCGTCGCCCATGATCGCAAACAAGTAATGATTGGATAATGACAGCTTGTTCCTCGCTCTGAATTGTTAACGACAAATTCGTTGGTGTATTCCGCTGCGAAACCTACCTGCCCGATCCAGCAATTTCGACCCTGGCACCCAAGGCTCGGCGTGTTTACCACACTGCAAAATTGCAGTGTGTGCACATCGGTGTGCCTATCGACGTGGGAGAATCGGTGTACAGACATCGATTTTCCCTCGATCCTGGCAAAATGAAAACATGTGCCGCGTCCTAAGCGGATCGGGGGAAAGCGGAGGTGTGAGGGGAGAAAATCGAGTCACACACACGTCCAGCAAGGGAAAATTAGCACAACGTGGAAAACTGCGCCGTGGACTTGCGCAGGCGGAAATTTCAGGTAGGAGGGGGGAGGGGAAAAACGTTCAGGAAGAATATTTGGGGCGCGAATCGGGGAACAATGTGCCCCGATCAAGGGCTCAAGCCAAGTGCTACAGTACCCTGATCGGTAACCCCAAGGGACTCACCGAATGACTGCTTCGTGTCGTGAGTGATGGTGGCGACGATGGCGACAGCCGAGGACCGCGTTCGCATGGCGGGAAAATGCGTGTCAGCAGTCTCTGGTCCAATAGCGTTGAAGGGCAACGAACTCATTGTGCAGAATTCGGTGGAGCACCGCTATAAATGGAATACTAAAACTCTGAACAAGGCTCACCAAATCCCACTCATGAAATGAAACCATGTAAACAAGTTATTCAATATTAATGAGTGTGGTCAGGGATCTGATGTCGCTGCAGGTATAGATTAAAGGCGACAGCATGAAACCATACATCTCTCACACAAAGCAACTGATGCCAAACTACATGGTAAAAAATACCACTCTCCTCACCCTCTGCCCAACCAAACTTCTCAAATCAGACTCGAAGTCGCCCCAATCGTCATTATCCTCCTCCGCATCCATGAAGCCCCCCATTAACATTGCCGCAATCACAGATGACACTGACGTCTCTGCCACAAAAGGAACCATCCCAGGCTCACTCTCAACAGCTGCAGAAGCAGAAGAACCAGCAGCAGCAGCAGGAACATCAAGACTCAAGACTCAAAGTCGCCCCAATCGTCAGTATCCTCCTCCGCATCCATGAAGCCCCCCATTGACATTCCCGCAATCACAGACGACACGGACGTCTCTGCCACAGGCGGAACCATCCCGGGTTCACTCCCAGCAGCTGCTGAGCCATCAACACCAGGAGCGCCTGATGCCATGTTTGCAGCAGGTGCTGTAATTGCAGCATGACCCACTGCAGGAGTCTCTTGGAAGGAATCGAATTCAGCAGCTGCTGACACCTGCTGCTTTTCGCTCTCCTCCACCTCCATTGTAGCTGCTGCATTGGTAGCTGCTACACTTGTAGTCGCGCTCTCAGCGGAATCAACAAGACCAGCTGCTGCTGCTCCTGCTGCTGCTCCTGCTTCTGCCCCTGTTCCTCCTGCTGCTGGCTCAGCTGCAGCGTGTTCCATTGCCCGACGAGGAACGCACGATGCAATGATAGATGCAGCAGAAACCTTCGGCCGGCTATTGAACTCCCTCAACCCTCCAGGATCCCTCCCGGGCACCACGAGGTGATCTGCCAGCATGAACGACAGGTCGGGCAGCGACTGCAAAATTTCCTGCACCACCGGATTCGCCAGCTCTGGTTTCACAAACTGCCCGAACTGCCCGTCGTGGGAGGCGTACGGCTGGCTCGCAGGGAAACTGCCCGAGAAATTTCCGGTGAAAGCGCCCATGCCAGCAGCAGCAGGGTCGTTGGTGTGAGTGGCGCCGGACGGGTGTGCAGAAGAAGACGAAGAGGAGGTGCCAGAAAGGACAGAGCTTGTGATACCACTGAGCTGAGAGAAGAAGTCCAGAGCAGAAGAACCACTGCAGTGGGGGGGATGGAGAAAACGTGGCGGCAGGGGAAGGGGGGGCACAGATAAAGGCCGTCATAGAGAGAAGCCAGCAAAACCATGCGCGAGTTCTTAACCATGTAAAGAGATGGGAAACCAGCAAAGGACCAAACGTACCTGCTGTGCCTCTCTGCAAGATGAGAAACAACTTTCAGAAGAACAACTTTGCGATTGAAACAAAGCAGGTCAGGTCGCCCAGCCTGTTGAACCGAACGTACCTGCTGTGCCTCTCTGCAAGATGAGAAACAACTTTCAGAAGAACAACTTTGCGATTGAAACAAAGCAGGTCAGGTCGCCCAGCCTGTTGAACCGAACGTACCTGCTGTGCCTCTCTGCACCCTGTTGCGGCTGCTGCTGCTGCTGTCCCCCTGCTGATCCAAAACTAGCAGCAAAGAACGATGAAGGAGCAGCAGCTGTTGCTGCACTCGCACTGGGAATAGCAGGGACAGCTGCCGGAGCGGCTGACGTGGCAGCAAGGGCAGCAGCGGGTGCAGTGGTGGGAAGGGCGCCAGGAGCGGGTAGTGGCGTGGGCAGGACGGACGAGAACGCAGAAGGGACTGCAGCAGGAGCTGCGGAGACAGCGGCAGGAGTTGCAGAGGAAGGTGGGGCGGCAAAGAAATCGTCTGGAATGAAATCGGGCGCTTGAGCAGGAACAGGTGGCACTGCTGCTGCTGCTGCTGCTGCTGCTGCTGGTGCTGGTGCTGCTGCAGCAGTGGTTGCTCCTGCTGCTGCTCCTGCTCCTGCTCCTGCTCCTCCTCCCCCTGCTGTTTCTGCTGCTGCTGCTCCTGCACCGGCGCCCACACCAGCACCAGCGCTTTTACCAGCAGCACCAGCAGCACCAGTAGCACCAGCAGCAGCAATACCAGCAGACGAAGCAGTAGAGCTGGTGCTGCCGCGGGTGGAGGTGGCACCTGAGGGAGGTGCACCCGTGCTGCCACGCGCAGAGGTGACACCTGAAGCATTCGAGGTGCGCCCAGCGCTGCCTGTGCTGCCTCGAGCACCGGTGCTGCCGCGGGTGGAGGTCGCATCTGAGGGAGGCGCGTTGATGCCGGCTAGGGTTTCGGCGAGAGTGCGCTCAGTGGGTTGGGTGGAGGAGGAGCGACGGCGCTGAGGGAGGGACGGGGGTGGACACAGAAGAAATCGAAGAGAGAAGGTCAGAGGCATGATAGGCATGGGAGGAAATCAGATGCCCGATAGGGTTTCCGCGAGAGTGCGCTCAGTGGGTTGGGTGGAAGAGGAGCGACGGCGCTGAGGGAGGGAAGAAGAGGGAAGAAGAGGGAAGGGAAGAAAGGAGAGAGACAGAATGAGGGAAGTGGATGGGGAGGCGCGTTGATCCCGGCTAGGGTTTCCGCGAGAGTGCGCTCAGTAGGCTGCGTGGAGGAGGAGCGACGGCGCTGAGGAAACGAAGACGGAAAGGGGAAAGAGCGAAATGGAGAGAGACAGGAAAAAATAGGGAGACTGAAAGTGAAAAAATAAAATAGAGGCGCGTTGATGCCCGCTAGGGTTTCCGCGAGAGTGCGCTCAGTGGGCTGCGCGGAGGAGGAGCGACGGCGCTGAGAGAGGGAGAGGGGGGAGAAGAGAAAGACATGCAAGGAGGAACAGAATGAGAGGACGGAAAGAATCAAACGTAGGGTTTCGGCGAGAGTGCGTTCAGTGGGCTGGGTAGAGGAGGAGCGACGACGCTGAGGGAGGGGAGAAGAGGGAAGAGGAGGGAAGAAAAGGGAAGAAAAGGGAAGAAAAGCGAAGAGAAGGGAAGAAAAGGGAAGAAAAGGGAAGAAAAGGGAAGAAAAGGGAAGAAGGGAAGAAAAGGGAAGAAAAGGAGAGATAGACAGAGTGAGGGAAGCAGAGAGGGAGGCGCGTTGATGCCGGCGCCAAGATGTTTGCGTCAACAAGCGGAGAGGGAGGCATTGTTTGTTACCTTTCAAATCGACTCGGCGTCAACACAAAATCGGCTTGAACTCAAGGGACAGCAGCAGATACCAACCACCACTCAATCCGCCTTTTTAATCGACTCAGCAACCACCTCGTTACAGTGTCACGACATACACTCACACTCACACACTCGCTCGGAGAATGCAAAAGTACCTTGTCGTCTTGCGGCTTGAACTCAAGGGACATCAGATACCGCCGCTCAATCCGGGTGTTTCGCCATAGGCCGCTCTTGTCGTTACTCAAATTCGGCGTCCCCGATACAGACGTCCCCGGTAAAGAGCTGGTGACGGAGCTACCACGGCTAACATCACTACTCCTAGTATCTTCACCCCCCGCATCCAGAGACGACCGAGTCGCGGGGTGTAGATGCGACGGAGCGCCGCAGGAGAGGCAGATCCGGAACTTAGGCCCTCCTAAAATGTCCACGTGGCAGATCTTACACGCGTTCGGGTTTCCCGCGTTCGCGAGAGCCTGAGGGAGCGGCTTTAAGGGGACGCGATTGGGATCATTGGATTGAGTGTTTGCGAGAGTGCCGTGGGATGCGGGGAGGGGAGGGATCCCCGCGAGTGCTCGCGAGATTAACTGCTGAACCTGAGCGTGAATGGGACTCGGATCCATGGCCAGATAGTGGCGAACAGTGGCGAACGCTCGCGAAATGTTGCGAGCGCTCGCGAGCTGTCGTGAAGTGTCGTGAACAAGCGCGAAACTCGCGGAAATGGCGAGCTACGTGAGCTGGTCTGACGAGCTGGAGGTGGAAGAAAGGCGATGCTGAGAAATGTGATATGGATGGATGGAAGATTGCTGCTGGAAACAGGGGAGTCTGACGGCGAACCGAGGAGGCATGCATACAACTCTAAGCACATATAAGAGCTATCATCGTGTGAAGCTGCCAAGGAGAGCGCCTGTGAAGCCAGTGTCTCTAACTATGTGAGGCAGCTATGGTTTGTGCATCAACAAATCGAGAATTTGAAGCAACCTAAGGGCGCGTAACCATTTTGCATTTTTTGATTTTGACGTACTGTCCGAATTATCGAATCGGACGGTACGTTCATATCGAAACGGACTGTCCGATTTGAATTTTTGCAACTTCGGACTGTCCGAAGGCTTTCATGACACTTTTCTCACGCGCTAGGGTTTGGCGATGGTTTTCGCGTCGCCAACAACAGTGTTCACCAGTAACACCAGTCACAGCCTCTCGCAATTTTCGCTCGGCCCATTTATGCGCTTCGGACAAACACAATAAATGTGTTTGCGAGCACAAAGGCCGTTGTGAGTGGTCAATGTCAATAATTGCGACCGAATCGCGAATTTCAATATTTTGGCGAGGCGGTCCGGGGTATTTAAATATCGCGCGCCAATCGCGTGCGCGGACTGGCGGACAGTCCGTCTGTGTTTCGGACTGTCCGATGTCAGAGTTTCGGCACGTTGTAGAAGGGAAAAACTGTCATGATGGTTCACATTTTTAGCGACGTCGTCAATGTTCTCACGAATACCCTTACGACATTGTGCGAAAACGGTAACTATTTCGCAGACGGACGGTCCACGGTTCGAACCGTCGGATGCAAAATGATTACGCGCCCTGAATTTCTAGGGTGATCCTCTCTCAACGCCAATATAGTCACTCTCGGTAAGGCCGCGCGCATACACTCGAAATAAAAAATATGCACATGTGTTATTCATTGGCTATTGTAAGGAATTTTCTCGTCATTCCTTACCGCGGCCATCAACACCGCGTACAGCAGCAGCCGTTGTTCGCCCGTTACTGTTAACGGGGTTTCGCCAACTTCATGCGCACTGTTTCACCAAACCATGCACCGCTGGCCCGGCCGAGTCGGCCTACACTTCATGACTAGCCCGAACCTCGATGCCAGCCTAGCACTAGCTAGCTCGCACGCACCACGTTGCCGTTTGCATGTTTCGCGTATAAGTATTCGCTCATGCCTTCGCTCATACTTTGTACTCGTTTGACACTTAGTGCAATCCTCGCTACCTCTATTCATTGCACCCGCAACACTTGGTATGAGAGCCTCTTTGTTTTCGGACCGCGCATCTCCGCACCCCAGGAAATCAACTTTTGATTTTTCACTCGAAGGGACTCACGCACCTTAGCCCCTAGGAGCCGCTGTCCTCGCGTTCTCTCGTAAACGCGTGCAGCCACGACCGCGCCTAAATTAAGCCGAGCCGACGCCCTTCGCCATGGCTGAATACGTCTGTCGAAGTAGTAGGAGAAAGTTTAGAAGCAGAAAGAGAGTTTGGACTAGCAGCAGTTGAGATACAAATAGCAAACCCTAGATTGGGCTGTACTCGCTATAGAGTACCCCACTGCAGGCTAGACAAATACAACATTCTGACACACCCCCATAGCCAAAGTGGGGTGTAATCAGCACAACAAGCAGTCATAATAGTAGTTCACATTTTATGAGCAAAGCTAGAGGCAGTCACAGAGGGCAAGTGAGGAGGAGGAGGGCTGGCGAGAGGAGAGAAGAGTGGAGGCGACGACTGAAGCTGCAGACACACGGGCAACAGACGGCTCTGGTGCAGCTCTAGTGGCTACCGGGAGCAAGGGCCCCGGAATACAGGAGTAACAGGCTCTGCGTCTGATCAGCAGCGACAGGAGCAACGGACCCACGGGCGACAGGTGCAACCGGCTCTCTGAGCTACCGGTGGCTATCAGAACCCCGGAATACAGGCGCTGCAGACGACACGACGGCGGCCTCCGCTCAACCTCCCCCAACAGTCCCACACCCCTCGACACACACCCCCTGCTTCGCCCCTAGCTCCACTCCCCTTTCACCCCCCTAGTACCACTCCGTCGGCTCCCCACACACCCACCCCCCTGAGCGGCAGCTGCAGCAGCGGGAGACGGAGGAGGAGGAGAAGGAGGGGACGGGGCACACAACCGGCACCCCCACAACCGCCACCCCCACACTCCCCACCCCCAAACCCTAAAACGGGCGGAACGGGGTAGGAGCGCGGGGGACGGCGAGGGGGAAGGCGCGCGGCCCCCAGGGCGCCACCATGGGGCAGCGAGGGGCCGCGCGCAGCCCCCCAGGGCGCCGCGACGGGGCAGGGGGTGGGTCGCGCACGGCTCCAGGGGCGGCTCGCGGGTCTCCGGGGGGCGACGCGAGGGTCGACGGGGATCGCGCGCGGGTCCCGCGGGGCGACGCGACCGTCGACGGGGCAGCGAGGGGTCGCACACGGCTCCCCAGGGCGGCGCGACGGGGTGGCGGGGCGACGCGACCGCCGACGGGGCAGCGGGGGCTGCGCGCGGGTCCCCCAGGGCGCCGCAACGGACAGGGCGGGGGCGCGCGGGGGTCCTCTACGGTAGGAAACCGCCGCGCGCCTCGGGGCGCACGGCGGGCAGAAAACCGCCGCGCGCCCCGAGCGCACGGCGGGATGAAAACGCCTCGGGCGGCAGGAAGTCGGCGTCGCGCGACCAAGGCGCGCGACAAGTAGAACAGCAGCGGAAGCATTAGGTGGTGGGCCCACCCACAGGATCGACCCAAGGGGGTCGACCTGCTCTGATAGCATGTCGAAGTAGTAGGAGAAAGTTTAGAAGCAGAAAGAGAGTTTGGACTAGCAGCAGTTGAGATACAAATAGCAAACCCTAGATTGGGCTGTACTCGCTATAGAGTACCCCACTGCAGGCTAGACAAATACAACATTCTGACAACGTCGACGTCACTACGCTCACGCAGGAGCGTCTGAACGAACTGCTGCAGCAACTTCGTGAAAGCTCATAATGGCAGAACGTCAATCCCTGCAGAATGACGTCGCAAGAGCACAACAAGCACAATCGCAAACACGTGGCACTCAGGGACAACCAGCACCACAGACATCGCAGCACGGAAGTGTGGGGCGACCCGCGAGCGCGGCCAGTGATGACGTCGTCCGCAACGACGGAGATGACGACCATGGCGCGACACACCCCGACGCGACGAATGCGGCCAGAGGCCAGCCTCGAGTCACGATTTCGGTGCCGACCGGCAAGTCAAACTAGTATACAATTTTAGGTTGAAACTCTATGAGTTGACATTAAAATAGAGAGGCTGAAATTTCAGAGTGTCTTTAAATAAATGTATGAACATTCGAAATCAATGTATTCAATGTTTCATCAGAAATGCATTCAATGTTTCATTCATCTGATACCGAAACGACTAAGGGGATTTCCAGGAGAACATGCTCTGACAGGGCCAATTTTTGTGTCAGGGCAAATGTTGTGGTGTGAAAGGGCGAATCTGCAATGTCGGGTGGATTTGTTTTGTGATTGGACGAAGAAGTTGTGCTCTGACAGCGTAAATCTTTGGTGTCGGGGCGATTTTGCTGTGAATGGGCGAAATTTTGTGCTGTAAGGCGCGGATTTGCTGTGTCAAGGCAATTTTGCGTAAAAACTGCAAATCTGATATGACCCGTCAAGTCCGAATCACCAGTCAAGATCGTGTTTGTACTCCGAATGATCAGAGTACACTCCCGGAAAACTCTGAAATTTCAGAGTTAGCCTTAAAAAAGTCTGAAACTTTCAGAGTTGAGGCCCTAAAAAGTCTGAAATTTACCGAGTACACTGAGAAAAAATTATGTAATATTAGAGTGTTTTGGCCAAATCAGAGAAAAAAGTCTGACTTCTCGCCGATGCCGCTAAAGCCGAAGCGTCCGCCATGTTTTTTGTCAGAATGTTATATTTGTCTAGCCTATATAGCGAGTACAGCCCAATTTAGGGTTTCCTATATGTATCCTGCTGCTGCTAGTCCAAACCCTCTTTTCTGTTCTAACTTTCTAGCTGTTGTTTCGACATGCTATAAGAGCAGTTACGCTCCAGGCCTATGGGTGGGCCCACCGTTAGCTTCCGCTGCTGTCCTGTCTGTCGCGCGCCCCGTGGCGCGCGACGTTTTTTCTTCCCGCCACGCGCTCGGGGCGCATTGCGGTTTTCTGCCCGCCGCGCGCTTCTGCCCGCCGTGCGCCCCGAGGCGTGCGGCGGTTTCCCACCGTCGCGACACCCTGGGGACTCGCGTCCCTCCTCGTCGACCCGCGCGCGGCTCCCCGTCGCCCTTCGTGGCGGCCCCGTCGAACCGCGCGCGGCCCCCCGTCGACCTGCGCGCGGCTCCCCGTCGACCTGCGCGCCGTCCCCGTCGACCCGCGCGCGGCTCCCCGTCGACCCGCACGCCGTCCCCGTCAACCCGCGCGCCCCCTCCGTGGACCCGCGCGCCGCCCCCGGGGACCTCCGCGGCCGTCCCCAGGGACCCGCGCGCAGCCTCCTCCCCCCACCCCCCCCCCCCCCCTTTCTCCTTCGCCTCCCTGCTGCGCGTTCCGCAGTGGGGTAGCGAGTGTGGGGGTGGCGAGTATGGGGGTGACGGGTGTGTGAGGCCTCCCCTGCTCCTCCTCCTCCGTGTCCCACTACTGCAGCTGCTGCTGAGGGGGGTGGATTTGTGCGAGTCGTCGGAGTGGTACTAGGGGGGTGGCGTGTGAGCAGTGCTAGGGGTACAGCAGGGGGTGTGTGAAAGGGGTGTGGGACAGCTGGGGGAGGTTGAGTGGAGGCAGCCGTCTTGTCGTCCGCAGCGCCTGTAGTCCGGGGCTCTGCGCCTGGTAGCCCAGAGAGCCTGCTGCGCCTGTCGCCCGTGGGT